TATATATATATATATATATATATATATATATATATATCGATAGGTAGAACATGCAAAGAGTAGTACACACATCAAATGATGGTGCACATTATATATATACAAGGAATATAATGAGCTTATGGACAGATATTTCGAGAGGTTAGAATTATTATGTTCTATCTCCACTTTTTGAAAAAAAAAAGAGTTATTGATTGTGTCATGTTCCTCAAAATAATGTTTTTCTACTATATTAAAACCAAAGTTAAAATCAAAAAAGGTTTGGAGAAAACATAATAATAAAAATCTTTTTATATACCGCATCCTAAAGTTTTTTTTTTTAAATCGTTTTATCTCAAAACAAAAAAATGTGGAGATAAAACAAAATACTCTTAACCTCGCAATTTGTAGCCCTATAACTATTATTTTTGACATAAAACTTGCTTACCCAGGGTGTAAACTAGCCCTGTGGGGTTATTATTAAATACTAATAGAAAAATAGCATAAGAAATTCTAAATTAATAATTCTGTGAAACTTGAAATAAAACCGCGATATTAGTATAACTACGCAATTGCATAAATGTGAAAAAGCCTCTTAGAAATAACTTCTTGAAAATTAAAATCCCAGCAATTTTAGGGATTTTCTCGGCAACTTGCTTGTTAAATTCACTTCTTAATGTTTGCAAATTTTTTGTAATGCCTCCCGACATTAGCAAATATCATATAAAAAAGTTAGCAAGTAATAAAGTACCATCTAAAAAGTTAATAAATTTGTTTAATTTAACACCAGCAAGGGCTATTTCTTTAAGGTGGTACGACCCTACATTTTTTATTTTTCAAAATGTGATATTTTTCTTAAAATGATAAACATTTTCCTGTAGTAGTTTAAAAACTGAATATAAAAAACATCATATTTTACTTATTTGTCACAAAAAAATGTTTAGTCAGCAAATAAAAAAGCAAAAAACATGCAATCACAAGAACATAAATAAGTAGAGTAATACTTGAGATAAAAGCTTTAATTTACAAACATATAGCTAAATGGTTGGTGGAGGCCCCCTAGTAGAATTTTCTAAAAATACAGAGCCAAAGTAAAATGGCAGATATTAGCTTGTAAAAATTATAAAAAGTGATCCGTGGGGTATGTATAATTTTAAATTTTGGTCGAAGTAAAAAGTATTTTTTTGATTATTCTACTACAAGCCCTTTATACAACATCAATGAACAAACTGTGAAAATTGTAAAGAAAAAGAGTAAGCAGTTTCTGACAGAGCTGTGGAGCCTGAATCGGAGTTGCGACATTTTTAGCGGAGTCGGAGTCGATAAACAAAATCGCGACTCCGACTCCAATAGTAAAACTTCTCGGTATTGCACGCGCATGTATAAATCATTCAATTTACCTTATGTTCATACTAAACCTCAAAGAACTTTCATAAATTGTCGAAAAAGAAATTTTTAACTTATCGCGTAATATTTTTTTAAGAATTCAAAGAATTTTTCAAAAAATTTGCTTTGGAGTTGGAGTTGGAGTCGGAGTTGTGCTCAAAAAGTTTCAACAACTGGAGTCGGAGTCGAAGTCTTTACTATTTTTTTTACGACTCCACACCCCTAGTTTCTTAGATATCAATGTTCTAGTTTCAAAATATTTGAAAAATATTATTCTAAGAAAAACAGCTTTTATAATATAAAATGTCATAAACTAAAAATATCTCAAACTAAAAAACATCCAAACATATGATTTTCAAAAACGAAAAAATGATTAACCTCCTTTAATATTCATAATATTCATAATGTCAACATATCCTTTTTACAACACCAATAAAAAAAAAAGGGAAAATAGGGCAAACATATAAACAGATACTGTTGCTAAGGCCGTTGCTAGTGATTCGAAAATTATCTTGTTGCCTTTAAATATTAATTTAAGTACTTTATATTGATTTTTAAAGGAAAAAAAAGATGTACTCGTGATCCAAGATGTTCAAACTGTTAAATTTTTTGTTTTTTGATGTTTTTAATAGGGTAGTACCACCTTAAATGTTTCGCCTGCTTTGGCTAAAAGTTTAAATAACTTAATAGGTCTTACTGCAAACTCTTTTTTAAGTAGTACGTGTGCTTCGTCAACAAAGTTTAAGACATCGAGAAGGCGTTTATATTACGGTAAGTTCTTAGTTATTGTTTTTTCTCTTTTTGTTTGGTGTTTTATATCAACTGAATTAGGTGATCGCGACGACTATAATCTTTTTTTTTTACATATCAGGATCAACTTAAATCTTTTTTTATTTTTCTACTATTATTTCTCGACTAATAATTTTAAAATATATGTTAAATACAAAAAGGTTTAATGATTATTACAAACTACTACAAGAAGTTTATTTAATAACTGGGTGTAGTTAAAGCGATTTATAGATTATTTGAATTTTTTTCTTTCTCAGTGGACACGGGACTTTAAAAAAGTCGTCTTTTGACCGTTTTAAAGACGACCAATTTCAATTCTATTTTTAAAACATTTCTTTTGATGATATAA